TCCAAACGGATACGTATTCTCAAACTGTCGATGTTATCAAACTCGTTCTTTCTCCAAGAGATTAATAGGCAAGGTATCCAACAATCCATTTCATAGGTTCCCGCTCAGATTCAACAACCATAACTTAAGTTCCTTTGCAAGGTATAACATCGTATTTTGGATCATACTAGACATATTTGTACATCATTTCGTTCATTCACAAGTCTCGATTGTATGTCATTAGTCAACAACATTCTTTCTTTGATTGAAAGTCCCTTAGCAGTATTCGTAGTTTTGAATCACAATAGATGTAGTAGGAGATTCCGAGGTTGTTTCAATCCATACGTTTTAGCGAAATCATCCAAGACATCATCACATTATTCATATAGTTCGGAATGATTTGTACGTAACATCAAATGGCTTTTCGTGGTCCAAGATTTTCAGGATATGGGATTTATCATACATTATGAGGAGGTAGTACTCGTTGTACAGTAGCTTGTCATTTATCGACCTTATACCAAAACATTTCTTCGTTTACTTCATGGTAGATCTTCATTATCGTTAATGAGTCTTTGCATTAATTCGTATCCACAGGTGATAATGTTAGAGTGGCGTTTCATATACGTCTTGTCGTATTCAACTTTCTTCATCGAGTTTGGAATATATCCAGATACGTTCTTGATAATGACAGGTTTGATGTAACACTATGATTGATTTCATTTCGAGTGAAGAAGATAATATCTTCAGTGCGTGATTCAATTTATGAATTCATAGAGTGAGGAATCTTTACTAGTTCTTACACCAACATCGCATATAGGTTCGGAATCTTCACTTGAATGATTCAGCTTGATCCTTGTGGGGTCACTTCTTCTCTGGTTGTTGCACATACATTTCCTTAGTAGGGTCATAACGGAGTTTGTTTGGTCAAATGAGATCATCGATAATAATCTTCAGAGATAACATAATCGCATCAACCATTTTGTGGTTCACAAAGAGAGGCTCAACATAATATTCCAATCAGAATGCTTTTACCGTAGTTCTCAGAGTGTAGTTTTCAAAGATCGGTATAACGTATCTTGATGAATTAAGACAAGTTCCCAAGGGTTTAATATTTTGATACAACAATGGAATTCAATATTTTCAAGATTGATCAAGCGAGATGTTTCAAGAGTGTAGTTAACACAACAAGTTGAGTCATTCAAGGATGTGAGTCACAAGATACAAAGATAGTGTTTGCGACTTATCGTTGCCAATCATAGATTTTCTTTATTCAATGTTTCACTCTTTGGAAGTTACTCAAGGAGTCATTGTCCTAGGAAATAGTCGTTTTGACTTTTAGTCTCGGATTTGATCGTATTTCAGGACAGCGAATCTAACTATTCAAGAGTCTCAATACGTCATATCTTCAGCATACTATAGTATTAGCGAGTACGTTCTCATCTGCAGGTAATTTGAATCCATTTTACTGTACGTATTTTGCCTGGTGATAATTACTTTTCCATCAATGGTCAGGTTCTAGAGACTATATATATCACGGTTATGGGAAGAGTATCTCACATTCTCACATTATGGAAGGAACTTCTCGAACACTTCCTTACACCATAAGATTCGTTGGTCTTCTTGGCAGTCATTCTCTTGGTAGAAATCCAAAGTTTATGGCTACGGCGGTGGATTTAGGAAGGGAATTGGTAAGGCGAAAAATTAGACTTACCTATGGAGGAGGCAACGTTGGCCTTCAAGGAGCTGTTGCTTCAACAGTCTATACCAATGGTGGTATAGTTAGAGGTTTCATACCAGGGTACATAGCAGCACGACAGGTCTACGGACCTACGTATGGTGCAGAATACACAGTTTCAAGCAATTACTATAAGCATTTCGAGATGAATCATGTAGTGGAGGCCTTCATCGTACTTCCTGGAGGGATTGATACTCTGGAAGGTTTGTTCACTTTGATCTCATGGGCATCTGAAGGGTTGCACAGTAAACCCATTGGTCTCTTGAATATTGACGGTTATTTTAATAACCTAATCAAATTTCTAGATGACGCAGTGAGGCAGAACTTCATGGCTTCTAGTCAGAGAAAACTTTTCATCCCTTCTTTCTTTATTGATGAGCTTTTAGACAAGCTAGCGTTTGCTAAAGCTTTTCCGGGTCCTGGGGCTAGTTATGACGAATTTGTAAATCCTGGGGCATTGGACTTAGACTTGCATTTGTAATTTTAGTTGAATTTATGTTGGAATAATATTGTCCATGAACATTATGAGTTAACCATAAATATTATTCTAAGTTGCATGGCCAGTGCAAGTCAGAAAAATATCTATTTTCAACATCAGAACGCATCATGTAAATATCAACATTTTCTCAATATGGGTCAAATGAAAGATTTCATTATACAATGGTTTCAACATACGTAAGTTCAAGAAAATACGAATATTCTTGAGATACAAATCGAAAGATAATTTCTTGCTTACATAGGATTTCTACATTTATTCAATATATCCTCGAGCCCTTGTAGCACGTTAGGATCTTCACAAAGTATCATCCTTGAGTTGGATTCTTTGAATTGTTTCGTGTTTTAGAACGTTGACTTCTTCCTGAACGAACAG